CAAACATAGTATTTATATATATATATATATATATATAATTTGTTATAAATTTCATTTATATTATATATAATAAACATGTTTATGTATTATATAAACTAAAATAATAATTAATAATAATTGTGATAGTAATAATAATTATAGAAATCATGTTAATTTTGATGGTAATATTATTAATAATAAAATTTTTTGTGACAATATAAACAATAATAATGACAACAATAATATCAATAAGTTGATAAAATGGGAGGTGGTATCACCACCACTACCACCACGTGATATTTTAAATGATTTTTTAACCTCATATTAATTAATAATTTATTTTATTTAATAATTAAGATTAATCACTATGTTTTTATTTTTTAAAAAATCATTCTTATATGATGCATTTTCTATACATACTTGTGGGTCAAATAAGAACTCGTCTTATTATGAAAAATAACAACCATAAAAGCATACCATTAAATCTTATGCGGATGGTTAAGATCAAAAGATAATATACTTGACCTTGTAGAGTGGTCATCTATCTACTTTAAACTTGAGAATTTCTGTGTGGTTTTATGACTTATCATTAACAAAATAAGGAGAATTTTAAATCTTTTATATTATATATATATATATATATATATATTAATTATACTAATATATAAATGATACAACTTTATTTATTATTTTATTTTAAACCTTTAATATTTGGTAAATCTACTTTAACAATTATAAAACACCAGTTTAAGATACTTATTAATGTCAACTCTAGGTTAAAAACTAATTTTATTTCATAAAATAAAAGTAAAAATAAGATTACTCAAAAAATGATTATAAATTGTATAAAATTACTTAATTTTAAAAATTGGAGAGTAACTATGCAATTTAAAAATATGACTAAAAATTATAAAAATAAAAAATATTATTAATAATAAATCTATAATCCGTGTTTACAAGTTTAATTTCTATCTATATTAAAATATTATTTAATCAACAAAAATTATGTTTATGAACCTATATTAATTTTTAATTGTTAGTTTTAAGACATTACGTGAATTATCTTAAAAAAAAAATTTACTTATCATATAATATCAAGTTAAAATTTACATGTCACGTACTAGAAAAAAATTATGTTATATCAAAATTTATTAATAATAAATTGATAACTAACAAATAGATTAAAACCGCTTAATTTCAAAAATAAAGAACTAAAATTGTGGAGTTAATAAATTTTTATATATTAAATGTGAAGTCCCACATCGGTTAGGAAGGAGAACGAAGCATGCCATATATATGGGTGTGGATACCTTCCTTGGGTGGAGGCCTTTTGGGGTGGCATGCGTGCCATTGCCAGAAGCAAAACCGTGAGGTCGTGGGCCAAAGCGGACAATATCCACATGCGGGTTGCTTGGGCTGTTACATTTGGTATAGATGGAGTATTAAAAAATATATTAACTGGTTGGAGCAATTTCAGAAGAATAACCCGCCGACCTTTAAAGGAGGATATGACCCAGATGTTGCAATAAATTGGCTATCGAAAAGATCTTCAATGCTATGGAATGTCCTTTTCCTCAGAAAGTAATGCTCAACCTTTGCCTTCTGACAGGTCAGATAGGCCGCCACATACTCAGCTATCTCCTTCTTCATACCAGACCACCAAAAAGTCTTCTTGAGGTCCTGGTACATCTTAGTCATACCTGGATGTATGCTAAGTCTGCTCTTGTGGCCTTCCTCCAGCACAGCTCTCTCAGCTCAACATCCTGAGGTAGATAGATTCTGCCCTTGAACCTCAAGATTCCGTCCCCTCTCAGCTCAAAACCCACAGCCTTCTCGGTACCCAGCAACCCAAGAAGCTTCACCAACTCCACATCCTGCAACTGCTTTTGTCCAACCTGCCTCAAGAACTCATTAGTTATGGTCAGCATTCCACAACTAATGTGATCCTGAGCTAACTCCACATGAAGATTTAGATCTCCGAACTCCTCAACCAGCTCCAGCTCCTTCACCATCATAACAGACATGTGGATGAATTTCCTACTTAGCGCATCCGCCACCGCCGAGTGTATCGCCGTGGGGTGCTCCTGTGTTGTTGGTGAAGAAGAAAGATGGGGGTAGTCAACTTTGTGTGGATTATCGACAGTTGAACAAGTTGACCATCAAGAACAAATATCCACTTCCTCGGATAGATGACTTGATGGATCAACTGAGGGGAGCATCGGTGTTTTCAAAGATTGACTTGAGGTCGGGCTATCACCAGATTAGGGTGAAGGAGGGTGACATACCGAAGACTGCTTTCAGGACTAGGTATGGTCACTATGAATATGTTGTGATGCTGTTTGGTGTGACCAACGCCCCTGCTGTGTTCATGGATTACATGAACAGGATCTTTCGGCCGTTCTTGGATAAATTCGTTGTGGTGTTCATTGATGATATTTTGATTTATTTAAGGACCCCGGGAGAGCATGGAGAACATTTGAGGATGGTGCTGGAAATTTTGAAGGCGAAGCAGCTATATGCTAAGCTTTCAAAATGTGAGTTCTGGATGGAGGAGGTGAAGTTCTTGGGCCACGTGATTTCAGCTGAGGGGATTGCTGTTGACCCGACTAAGGTAGAGTCGGTGTTGCAGTGGGAGCGTCCAAGGACTGTCACGGATATCAGGAGTTTTGTGGGTTTAGCGGGTTACTATAGGAGATTCATTGAGGGATTTTCCAAGATAGTGGCGCCTTTAACCCAACTGACGAGGAAGGAGCAGCCGTTCATATGGACAGATGCCTGTGAGCGGAGTTTCGATGAGCTGAAGGAAGGCACCCCATGCAGTCGTACTATCTCCCTCACATATATCTGTGTCAGCTTCTCCAAGGACCACTTGATGTTGACAGGCAGGAAATGTGCACACTTGGTCAACTGATCAACAATCACCCAGATAGCATCACTATTCCTAGCCGACCTAGGCAACCCAACAACAAAGTCCATAGTGATACTATCCCACTTCCATTTTGGAATCTCAATCTGTTGCATCAGCCCACTCGGCTTCTGATGCTCAACCTTTGCCTTCTGACAGGTCAGATAGGCCGCCACATACTCAGCTATCTCCTTCTTCATACCAGACCACCAAAAAGTCTTCTTGAGGTCCTGGTACATCTTAGTCATACCTGGATGTATGCTAAGTCTGCTCTTGTGGCCTTCCTCCAGCACAGCTCTCTCAGCTCAACATCCTGAGGTAGATAGATTCTGCCCTTGAACCTCAAGATTCCGTCCAGATCGGACAATATCCACATGCGGGTTGCTTGGGCTGTTACATTAAACATTCAAACATATATTTTCTACTTTACACGAGAATAATTTTAATAATTTTTGTTTGATAAGAGATTTTTAAAATTTTTTAAAATCAATTTTTATTTATCATATTATCAATAAATAAAAAATATTATACTATAATATTAATTATTTATAATAAATTTAAAATAATTTTTTTTATTAAAAATATAATTTATATATTTAAAAATATTTATCTATACAAATTTTTAAATATAACTTATACATTAAAATATAATATTTATTTTTATATAATTCATTATAAATTTTAGTTATTTATAATAAATATTTAATCTATAAATCGTACATACTAAAATACTAATAAAAAATTTACAATACTGATTAAAAATCAATAAAAGATTAAAAGTTTTATTAGATTTATTTTTTATAGATAACTTGAACTTATCCATAAAATAAATACAACATATAATTTTGAAAACATAATAAATATGCAAAAATAATGAGTTAATTGAATGGGACACGACATGAACGCACTTAAAAGAAACCCAACAAAATTGTTCTTCCTTCTACCTTTGTCTTTTTCTTTCGGCGACAGCTGCTTCCAAAGTATTTTATGCATTTGTGGTCTAAATTGCTTCTCCTTTCAAACAAAATCAAGTTCAACTTGCAATTGCGTCCCTCAGTTCAACTTATCAATTGCACAAACCCTCAATTCAACTTATCAATTGCATGCGGAGCTGGGTTTTCCTAGGGTTTGGTGGCCATGGCTCAAATAAGCTGAGGAGGCTAAGGTCAGTAAAAAATCTTTCTAATTTCAAGCCCCAATCAATGATCCATTTCACTCTCCATTACTTTGCTGATTTATAAGTCGAGGGCTTTCTTAAATTTCTCATTTTGAGTACGGATTCTGTTTAATCTCGATTTGGGGGCGGGGTACCCTGCGTTTTTTGGGTGTGCCTGATAATTTCGTCTATTCGAGATTTTTGGGATTACCAAAATGTTTTGCAATTTACAACTACAATGTCACTGTGTTGGGAAGTGAAATTTGTGTTTATATGTTGCCATGCCAATGATATGACCCTTTATATTTATACATGTGTACATCAATACATGGTTATTAGTTATTATTTATATTGCTGAAATTTGAGTTCAATCGTAATAGATTCAAATCACTTAGATTTGTAACAGTGTCCTACCTCCAACTTGTGTGACTCATTCCCTCCATTCTATTGAACTTGTCTACCGTTTGTAATCATAGTTGCTAACGTGTTTTGTGGTAATGCCTCATTTTGTGTATGTATAGCTCCAACTATGTTACAACTTGGGATTATGAATTGTATACTAGAAAGTGGGTGAAGTGGCAGTACGCTAGAAGTCTGTGAATATTCAAGGGAAGGAGAAGATTTTTATTTTTTGAGTACTTTAGAGATCAAACTGAACAGATGAATTATTTATTCTTATATGTTTCGTGATTCAGATTTATAATATTAATATTAATATTCTGCATAAAATTAGTATTTTCCAACAAAGGGTTGCCATAAAGTTGTGATATTTCTTTCAGTTTTGCCAGGTGAAGAAAATGATTCTCACAAAGCAGTACCGATGCATACATTCATCTAGCTGTCAATGCACTAAAGGGCATTTAAGTGAAGATGTAATATTCTTAGTATTTCATCATTTGAATTGGAATCCAAAGCTAATCGCCACTCTGTCATGTGTGTGCAAATGGTTTGATGATTTAGCCAAGCGAGTTCTATGGAAAGAGTTTTGTCGAACAAGAGCGCCAAAAATGATGCTTGATCTGCAATCTAGTGGGAGTCACAGTGTTGATGGGAACTGGAGAGCCCTAGGGAAGCTTCTAATATATTGTGCAGGGAGCAAGAAAAGTGGTTTGTTCAACAGCATTCATAACCCTGCTGGCCATTTTGTTGATCAGACTCGATTTTCTAGAACATCAGGAAGGAGTTTTCTTTTGCCACAATGTAGAACCGATGTTTTGTATGTTTCTGATCCTTGTGAGCATCTTGACCAAGGTGAAGAAGGAGACATAGGATACTTCCGAGGAGTTTTTAAGTCATTTGCAACTTCAAAGGTGAGGAAGATGCTTATCAAGAAAAATGCCAAGCTTCATCCAACAAAAGTCTGCCCTTATTGTAAAGCAAAGTTGTGGAGCATGCTGCAAGCCAAAATGATCCCTCAAAGTGCTAGTTGCAGACTGGGTTCTTATGAAGATTGTGTTGAGTATTATGTGTGCCTAAACGGCCACATGCTTGGCAACTGCACCCTATTACCATTGTCTGATTCGGAAGAAGCAACTGAGTTGGAGTAATAATATAAATGATTCTCTGGTATTTTCTTGTATCTGGAAAACTATAACTTTCTTTCCTTTTTATGTTTTCCTTTTTGTTTCAATATAAAATGAACACCAATGCTGGAAATTTATTTGTGCATAGAAGGATGATTTTGATGTCACTTTTTTAGTTCAGAGATTAAATGATGTTAGTTATCATTCATCAAGGATCAAAGTGGTGTCAACCTAACAAATAGGACCAAAATGAATGTTACTCAATATCTTTTTATTATTATTTTGAATAACTTTAATGGTTTTAAACAAAATAATAAATTGGGTGGAATTGAACAGAAATATTGGCATCGTGTTACATAATAATCAATGTTAGCATTACAGGTAGCAAACATGAATCATGATCTTACATGCAGTTGCATAGTCAAATTTTTAAAAATCTAATACTTAAACACATGACCACAACATTTAAACTTTAAGAAAGATACACTCAGAGCACATTCAACTCTTAGACATAAAATTGAATGCAATGCCAGTATAACAATAAAAAAAATAACCTAACTTATCCAATTAACTAAAGAATCTAATTACTATTTCAACACAGCCCCCGTGTGCTGCACTTGCACAAAAACCAATACCTTAGAATGTCTTAAAAACTGATGACAAGTCATAAATTCGTTGATAAGCAAACTCTACCATCTTCCAACCTACTCATTTTTTGATGGACTGGTAAACTCGGCTCCTTTACCCAACGAAGTTACACTAGAAGAAGCACTAGATGACGTAATACTACCATCAGGAACTTCTCTTCGACTGCGTCTTGATGAATTTCTCCGACGTTCGTTTGTTGCAGGGCTCTGTCCCTCCTCAGCTAGTTTTTTCATAAGGTTCATGATAGTTGGAACTAACTTTGTAGACAAGGAGATGATTCCTGGAAGCTGAAACAAAAAGGAAAACATTAGTAGGTAAAAGCTGATTAGCTGAACAAGCTACTATTTGTTACATCTCAGAACCAAACTAAAAATAAAGGATAGAAAGAGCTAACAAGAATCACAAATTTAGGGAATGAACAACAAATCAAGAAAGATACTCACAGCTCCATTGCGAAATTCACCCGAGATGTCAAGCTGCGTCCACAGGGCTTTAATGAGAAGATAGCCAACGAATATGACCATTAAATACAAGGGATTTCTGCCATAAAGAAAATTAAATTTGGGTGTGACCAGTTAAGTTAAATAGTTGGACAAAAGTTAAGAAATTTCTTTAGGTTTGAGCATTTTTTTGGTTCTTGAAAATATGCCCATTTTAGAGGGTTTCAATGGAGGACAAGCAAAAACTTCCGTAAGATTAAGAGTGAGTAAAAACAAAGCCTTATTTCTTTCAAATGAAAAGGTTAGAAAGATATCAAATGGGTAAAGTTAGCATTAACCTTAAAAGTGTCATAAATTCATTAAATCCAAGAATGAGCAAAGCAGCAATCGCCCATGGTGGAGGTAACCAGTTGCTGTTACGATTGTTAGCTTCCTGAAGTTGAAAAGAAAATACATCATCAGTAAGTAGAAGTTAGTACTACGTTTTATCAGTAACAGAAATCAAATGCTCACATAATATGCATCCATGATGTTTATCAAACTAATATATCCACTAGTAAGCAAATCATTATTTAACCTTTACACATGGACCTAAAAAGGACCAAATCAAGATCAATTGTTTGGAAGACATTATTAAATAGTCTTGGACCATCATAATCCTCATTAATGGACCATCATAGTCCTCATTAATTTTCACATGACATGTAATTAACTGTTATTAATTCTTTCTTGTAAACTGTAAAATTTGAATGGGTTTTATAACCATTGAAGGTAGATGTATGCAATGTTACCCCCACATACAGCACATACAGAACACTGCTTTCAGGATTTGAACCCTTGACCATCATGGGGAGGCGCTCCCTCGAGAATAGCCTAGCCCATTTCTTTCACACAATAAAACTAGATGACTTGAACTACAACTTTAAGATAGATAATAATGAAAAGAAATTCATAGGATGTATAATTCTTATAAGTTTTCTATGATAGATTTTCCAGTAAACAGAGGAACCTTGAAAATCATAAAAAGATGGACAGAATATCATGCCTGTGCAGAAATGGCCTGAGAAACACTATATTCTGTCTCCATCTTGAATTGCCTCCATAAAGATTTGCACTGGACAGGTGTGATCAATGTTTTAGAGGATGGTACCTACAAAAAAAATTAAATCAGAACAAATGATCAGTCACAAGGATAGAAAATATTCTCAAATCATAAGAACATATGATCAAAACACAACATTCTTCAGCCTAAAATATATATTAATCAATCACAAGACAACACTGTAATTTTCTATACATTTTTTAAATCTAGATGGAAGAAGGAATGAAAGACAGTATTATATTTATTAAAAATTAAGTTAGGTTCCTGTAACAATAAATTTTCTGGCTGACATAACTGAATGTCCAATCAGAACACCTGTGTATGAAAAGGAGAACAAAATTTAATACTACCTTTTGTCCAAGCATTTCTGATCCATCATTTATCAAATATAATATAGCAACAATAAAATTGCACCTGCTCCCAAGTGCTTGAAGCCAGTGGATCAACTGCTGTGATGCTCTTAGTGTTAACAGAACTACTTGATGAATCAGCCAATGCAACTGTTAAAGTATTCTCGATATCGTAAGTGTCATCCGCATCAACCAAACGAATTACAGCCATTACAGACAGCAACTTCAAGCACTGTAGAAGATTAAATTTGGTTAAAAAGGTGTGTCAAATCTCAAATGCAATACAAACTCAGGTAACAATATGTGAATCATAATTATATATGTCATACTGCAGAGCGGGCAGACTTGGTGATGCCTCGAATATCTTCTTTTCCCGTCCAAATACGAGGCATTGAATCAGCATCATGACTAAACAATGTCATAAACCTGCTTTGGAATTTGAGATAAGTGCCTCTGAAGTAAAGATTTAACTAGTCTAACTAGTCGACTTAAATGTTGCATAAGGTTTATACCTGTCCTTCATACGGATTAGAACTCTGCCAGCTTCTTCCCTAGCCTTGGCTTCTATCACACCCTTTGCATAATCCTGTAAACTCACAATCATGTTATTGTGTGTTTGTTCATCCAAATCAAATCTGGTAAGTTCGGCAGAGAACCCAGAAACAGCTGATTGAGTCTCACGATTAAGAAGTTTCCTTATCGATGGCCAAGTATCATTATTAGCTCCATCCAATAGTGTTTCAACAGGTGCAGACAAGGCCTCCTTCAGTTTTTCCTGCAAGGGAACTACTATCAACGAACTTCCTAGGAAGTTAGACAGTCGTCTACAGAAACACAGCAAACTTCCAGCAAGTGTCAGTAAGCAGAGAAACTTCACATAAATTTTGACTTGCCACTATTAATAGGCAAGTCTTGACAAAAATACATTGTATCAAACTATCAATTAACCCCTTTTCTCCCAGATCATGTAGTGGAAACTTTTAGCTCTAATTTCATATAACCACCTAAAAGATTTTAAACATTGGTTTATTTGGCACGACACAAACATATATAACCTGCAATATTACAAGTGTTATTGAGCTCAAATAAACTCAAGGATTTATAAAGCATGAATGAACAATGTCAGACATGTACCTCGTATGATGAAACAAGTTCTGCCATCTTAGATGCACGAACAGATACGACATGTGCATCAATATCACGCCGTAGCTTCTCCCTCACTTTAGATGTATCCCAGTTTGCTACTTCAACAACAACATCTGCAAGGATAATATACCAGTGTCAAATTGTAATCTGCAAGGATAATATATCACTTAATATATCACTCACGCGAGTTATATGCGTACTTGCAACCAACCGAGCATATTTGGATTCACATCAATTTTAGTTAGATGTGGATAAGTGAAAACATCGATTTTGCTTAAACATGGATCATGGATGTGGAGCCAAATATGCACTAAATTTAAATCTCTTAGTAGACTATTGGAATGAACAAAAAAGTTAGCAATGCTGCTCTCGGCACCAAATTTAATAATCTGGGGCACTCTTTTCATTTCCAAGATATGTATCTGTATTCTGTTGATGTCTAATGCAATATGATAGACAAATTTCTCAATACCTGCACATCCTTCATCAAACTGAGCCATATAGGACTCTACGCACTTGTTAGCAGCAGATGAAAACCCTTCGCCTCCACTCAAAACCTTCTCTAATGTTTCCTTGAACTTATCCAAAACTCCGGACCTTATATGTCCCAGCGCAATTTGGTATGCTGGTTGGACAAGCTAACCAATTGAAAAGGCATTAAGGGAAATATAGAAGCATTATAAAAATAAAAATTATCACAAATCTCCAAAAGCATTTAATAAAAATAAACATGACTAACAATCCAATACCTTTTTTTATCTTAAATAATCAGTCTTATTTCAATGTCACCAATTTTTATTTCTCTTTCGTTAATCACTAATTCTTTATGTTAACATGAAAGAAAAGATAAAAAAAAAAAAAAAACCATGAATGCACAAGAATGAAGTTAAGAAGAATTACTTGTAACAGTTTTTCCTGAAGTTGCTTTTGTTTTGAAGATCTCACACCTTCGTCAAAAAAAGCGGCTTCAGCATCATACCTAGAGTAAAAGAAAAATCTCAATATAACTTCAATCCACTTCAAGTTACTTTCATATAATGTTTCAAGAACATGCATGACATATCCCTGGAAGTTAAAGAAACAGTTACAAAGGTGTTATTAGTAGGGCCCAGATTTAATAGTAGAAGGAGATTCATCCTGAATTGCTAGCTTTGGGGAATTAGGTAGTAGCTCAGTTGTAGAAAGGGGAAGCCCTTTTCTGAAGGAAAGACCATTAGAAGGAGAACTCTCTCATTTTCTATTCGCTTTCATTCACCAATAATAGATTCATTATTTTTCTTTCCATCTCTTGTACTTCTATTCAGTTATTGTTTGTGGCTTTGTAACAATGCAAAATAAATACAGCAAACTTTTACGATTTCATCTTAAACTACAGTTTATTTTTGAAGTTAACACGTAACATCATAGCAATAAAACCGCCCTTGATTGTATAAAACCGAAGTAAGAAGCTGTGACACCATTTTCAGTAAAAGCATCAAATGATGTTCTTGTACTACACTGGAAACCATCAAAAACTTTAGATGCTAGAT